ACCATGTCATTGTAGCAGGAAAGCAGTCACAGACAATATGGAAATGAAAGATGAACATGCCTATGTCCTAAGAAAACCTTAATAATGGACACTGAGATTTAAATTTCATATAATTTCCACATCATGGAAATTTTTTCTAATGATTTTTTTTCAAACATTTAAAAATGTAAAAACCATTCTTAGCTGATAGGTCATACAAATCTGGCCTACTGCATGTTTTTGTATAAATATGACCCTTGACCCTTGTAGGCCATTGGAAGAACTCTGGATCTTGCTCTGACATAATAGAAAGTCACTGGCAAGTTCTGAGCAAGAAATTTTTTGGATATAAATTACATTTTTTAAAAGACCATGGTGGCTACTATGTTGAGAATAGATGAGGAGGTAAGAGAGATAAGTTAAAAATAGATGAGATGAAAAAGGTCTAGTGGAGGTGATATGAAGTGGCTGGCTTTGAAGATAGAGCTAAAGGATTTGCTGAGGATATGGAGGATGAGGAAAAGAAAGGAATCAAGGATGACTCCTAGGTCACTGACCTAAGCCACTGTGGTTCAGGTGGCAAAGACTGGGAGAAGAGCATGTTGGGACTAGAGAATCCTCCCACCAAGAATTTTCTAATCACCAAGTTCTACCCTCGTTCACACCATCACCTCCAGGGCTAGCTAAAAACCTCATGTATTGTTGATGGGTAAACAGCCACCAACTGTTGGCCATGACTTCACTACCCCTCAGATGAACTGCTAGACAGCCTGAGGAGAAGGAATGGTGCCCTGTGGGCTGCCTACCCTCACCCTTCCATACCAAACTGCTTTGGCTTCTCTCCCGTCAGCCTCCTACCCCCACCCCAAGGTCCTATGGAACAGCACTGGAGCCAGATGCAATCCCTACTTCCCTCCTTCTGGGCATCAGGTTTCTTGTCAAAGAAAGACAATCCTTGTGATATTTGAGCCCCCTTAGAGATGAAACCCATTGTGGAGAAATGACTTACCCACAGCCAAAGAAAGAGAGTAGGACTAGGTCATATGACTATTAGGCCAGTGGAGATTTTTATATAATTAGGTGCAGTGGAATGTTTTTATCCTACAAGTCACATTAGAATATTCAACAAACTGATTTGTCTTGTCTTTCTGTACCTCAGGAATGGGAAATGAAGAAGACCTAGAAAGAGGATGAGGATTTTATCCAAAAGAAATATCAGCTTGTTCATCTAAGGTGGAAATGCTTTTTTCACAAGGAGACATCAGAACACTGGAAGTAGCCCCCACTCTCCAGGGCACCCAAAAGACCAGCCTTTATTGTCTGCGTAATTATAGGGGGTATAGGGAGGGACGAAGTAGATGGGATGAGGGAAATGGAGAGTATCCTTATACAACTTTACAGAGGGTGAAAAATGGGGGTGGAGGGAGACAGAAATCTGCACAATTGTAAAGGTTTTGTTAAATGTTTTTGCCTTCCCTTCTGAAGAAATGAAAGCACATGTGAATAAGCCATTCCATCCCATTCTCAGCATCCCATTCCCACTCCTTAGGGCAAAGGAAGGAAGTGCTAAAGCATCAGTGATACAGTACAGAGACTTGATCATCCAATCACACTTGCATCATCTGGATTTGTGTTGGACATTACTGACAATCTCTGGGCAAGTAAACTGGCTGAAAATCAACAGAACTATCCTATCCCTGCCTGAATAAAGGTGAACAAAAGCTATCAAGAACATGCAAATTCTATAAGCATTCCTCATCTGCTTTAGGCAGATGCAGCTACCAAAACCCCAGATTTGAGCTGTTTTCAAATCAGAGGTCTGTCTGTGTATGCAGCAGGCAAGGAGGGGTTCCGCAGCTGACATATTTTAAGATCAGAGTGATACTTAGTGACAGGAGCATGCATTTCTAATGTCCACAAGATGTTGCAGGCTTTGTAGGGTGAGATCATTTGCTGTCAATCAAGTCCTTTATCTATTTTATATGACACTGGTTAGAAATCTAAGTGATATTCTTCAAGTGTTTATCCTTATCTTGCACTCAGAGGACCACCAGTCTGCTCTTCCATATCTGCTAACAAGTAAAACAATCAGGGAGAATCAAGACGACAGTGGCTCATTTCTGCTTTATGAGTGCCTTTTACAAACACTTGATACTTTTATAGACAGGTGAAGACCTCAAATCCCAAGCAGTCTCCTTACTGTGTTACTCGCTACTTTCTAAACACTGTAGGCACTTTATGAGTCTTTACATTTCCCACCAATAAAGATAAAACCATTTAACTGTATGAGCCCAGAGGTTAGCTCAAAAGGAGAGAAGAGAAATCCCTGAATAATTTCTGGACGCTTTGCTAAAGGTTTCACATACTTTACCCTGCCTAAGGCTTCACCTACTTGAGCTTCATCCAAACATTTCCACCCTCTGAGGTAGATGGAGACCAGAGCAAAAAACATAACCTTACCAAAAGTACCCAGCTGATCAGTGGCAGAGCATAAGGCTTAGGGCTTATGAGCCTGGATTCACACAGGCTAGATTTGAGCCCTGCCTCTGCCATTTAACAGCTGTGACTTTGGGAAAGTCACTTGACCTCTCTCATTCTTGTTTTTCTTAACCGATGAAAACCAGGTTCACAATTGTGCTTTCCACCCAAAACTGTTAGGTGAATTCAATGAGATAATAATACATGGGAAGCCTCTTGCACAGTGTTCAAGAAATGTAAATGCCCAATCAATAGTGGTTCTTATTACTAACTATATATGTCTGACTCAAAATCCTTTCCACTAGAGAAGAAATGACTTTTACATGGTAATTACAACCACCAAAAGCTATAAGACAACCAATCTGTAACTGACAATTTTCATTTCAGATTCCACCTAAGTGTCTTCAATGACAAAGGTGATCACATAATCTGGATTGTCAATGTCCTTTTTAAAATGTGGATCCTGGAATGTCACCTAACAATCTAACGGTGTCCTCATTTTTCCATGCTGTTATTTTGAGACTAAGTATCTTTTCTCGCCGATAGATCTTAGACTCTTTAAGAGGCGGGACCCTAGGAAACTAATAATTAACATTTATTAAGCACTTACCATACATTGGGCTATGTGAGCCAGGGACAGCTTCATAGGCATGCAACCTATGAAGGCACGCTTAGGAGGTCTGTGCTCAGTTGATTGCTCTGCTGTTGCTCTATTAGTAAGTTTAGAATAAGGGGCTCTACATTTTCCTTTTGCCCTTTAAATTACATAGCTGATCCTGAGCTAATTAATTACTTTTCTAGGCATTATCCCTTTAGTCTTCACTAAAACCCTGTGGGATAGGTTCTATTATTCCAATTTTCGCAGTTCAGGAAATGGAAGGCAAGAGAGGTTAGCTAACTTGCCAAAGCCGACAATTAGGAAGTGGTAGAGACTGCACTTGAATACAAGAAGTCTGACCCGAGAGCCCTTTCTCTCAGTTCCAAGGCTCTATTTCATTCATTCCTCCCCCCTGCACTGTGGCATTCAGAAGCACACTAGCTCTTAATATTGATGAATGAATGGATGCATGTATACAGCACATTTGGTGTAAGTTGAACAGCTAAGAAAAGTGTAAAGAAAATGGCTAAAGCAAGGAAGTCAGTTCTAGGTTGTTAAAATGCCTTGTTTGGTTGTTTTTCAAAGTATAGGCTCATGAATCTGAGGTGGACTTGAATGAAGCTCCATACTTCCCAATACCACCAGATGTTTGGACTATCAGATCTGTAGTGTCATTGGATCTTCAGTGGGGGACCTTGAACAGGTTCACCAACCTCTTTGAGCCTCAATTTTCTCATGTGTAAATGGGAGTTATAATCTCTCCTTAAACCATATTGCTCTTCTCCTAAGGCCAAAAGGAAACATAAAGTGCTGGCTACAATACATCAGATTGGGTCTTGGATAGAATATAAATATGCAAAAGACTTCCAGGTCTGTCCTCATGGAACTCACAGAGAAGCAGAGAGAAAATCTGACCCAAATAGCTACAATACAAGTAAGCCATGTTATGGTGAAGATTCAGAAAGATGAAGGCAAACTTCTCATCCCTTAAAGAAAATTTTTTTTTTACCTTAGGAACTATCCAGTCAGTAACTAGTCTGGCAACTCCAAATGCCCTCAACCCCAATCGCCAGTCCATCTTCATATCCTGTCAGGTTTCCAGACTAAATCTCTCTAAAATTCATCCACTTCTTCCTATCTCCACTAACTCCATCTAACTTCATTAATTAATTCAACAAATATTTCCTGAGTACTGTGTCTACCGTATGTACTAGATGTCAGAAATCACAGCTGTGAACAAGACAGACATCGTCGTGAAGCTCTAGAAAAAAAAACGAAACAAAACACTATGATGGAAACAAAAATGTGCTGGACACACCTAAAATAGTAACTACCTTAGATAGGGTAGTTACAAAGGTCTCTACTGTGACCCCAAGACCCTCGCATGGACTATTTCAACAGCTTGTCTCCCTCCTATTTCCCCACATCCTGCAATCTCCTCCCTCTAAGTGACTCCTTTAAACATGTAAAGGCTTTATAACATATTCCCACTACAATGAGAATGAGACTCAAGTTTATTAAACAAAAAGATTTTGACCTACATTAGGGCACTGTTCTCTGAAAATAAAGACAAAAAAAAAAATCTCTGCCTAAATGAAACTCACATTTTAGTGAGGGAAATGAGAAAACTGGAGGGAAAAGCAGGGAAGAGTGATGGAGATGGGGTCAGAACCAAGGTGCTTTTAAATTCCTCAAGACATCTGGCCCTGCCGAACCAGACATCTTATGTTGCCCTCCCCTTCCGCCAGTATTTCAGTCCCTTATTCGCAATACTGTCCCTCTTTACTGGATCCTTACAGATGCTGTTTACTTCTACCTGAACAACTTTCCTGTTCTTTTGATCTACACATTCTTCAGCTTTCAGTCCAAATATTATTTCCTTTAGGAAAACTCCCCACACTCGGCCATATTGTATTCTAGGCTTCCGCAGCACTATGCCCCTCACCTTTAAACCTCGGTCCTATTTTGACTTTATATCGCGTTTGCATTTGTTTGTTGCTTATAACTTCACATAAACTCAACGAAGGCACGGTTGACATCCTTGTTCGCCACGGATTCCGCGGCTAGCACCCAGCATACATTGCTGTTAACAGAAACACATCCTACGCGCCGAATACACCAGAGACCGGAAGTGCTGCGCCCGGGACCACCAGCGCAGTGCACTACAGGAGCCGGAAGAGTAGCATTCGCATCCGGCAGCCTTGAGAGGGGAAACGCCCGCGAAGGCTGCCGGGAAGCGTGGTTTTTTAAGTGAGCCTATCTCGCGACTCGGAGCAAGTGCGCGCGCGCTGCCTCCGTCAGCCTAGGTCAGGAACATGGCCGCGCGGTCCCTATGGGCGGTCCGGTGGCGGGTACAGCGCCTCTTGTCCTCGAGTGCCGCGTCGGATGGCAGGTAAGTAAGCGAGGCAGACCGCGGGGTTGTGGACGTGAGGATAATTCGAGACGAGCGACCTGGAGGGACAGTTGTGGGCGAGAGGACCCATCAAGCCTTTTGGCCGCTAGGATCAGGCTCTTACGGCCCCATTTTACAGAGGGGCAAACTGAGACCGACAGCGGCGCATCCTTGCCACGCCGGGGAAGGTGGGATGATTCGAGGTCACGACCTCTTAGGTGGAAAGTCTCTTTAGCCCCAAGCATAGGTTGAATTGGGCAGGTACCTGTCCCAGCCCCTTTTCCCAGCTGTTGCGTCTGCAGGTAAATTGGGAGTCTCTCCTCAGACTTCTGTGTGACTTTAGACCAGTCTCTTCCCTATTATCCAGGCTTCACTTCACCTGTTGGGAAAAGGAGGGCGTTAAGACTTGGTCTCGACCCAAGCGGCGCTTTCACTTGCCTTCGGGAGTCTGTGAAGTTCCAGTTGCTGCCTTTATTCATCGGCTGCGGCAGTTTTTATTGATAACTTATCATGACGGTTGTAGAACTATGGGTAGTTCTTTTTATTATCCCCTGAGGAAACAGAGGTTTGGAAATGTTGGGTAACTTCTTCAGATGATACTCGGGAAATGGTGGAACCCAGACTGGAAACCAGTCAGGGTTCTAGAATCGGCGCTTTTAATTAGTAAGCAATGTTAATTATTCTTAGGAACAATTCCCTGTTGACTGTTTCTTCCTGGGAAACAAAAACTGGCAGAGTAGGGACATGGATAAGGTTGGACCTCTGAAATGTAAATTAAGCCGTGGGAGAATCCGAGAATTACTGTATGCATAGCTTTATCACCTTTTTATTTTAAGACACCTGCCCTAACACCTGAGTGAGAGGTTGAATTCAGGGTTTGCGGCTTTTTTTTTTTTTTAATCACGATTAATTTTTTTTTTTAAGTCTTTTTGGCAGTTTGTGATGTAGGGAAGTGACCAGACCAGAAGAAAAATATTTCCTGATAAAATTCCCCCCACCCACCCACCCCCGCCCTGACTTCAGTTCTGCAGAAGTAGGAAGTGAAGGGCTCAGCCACAACTCCCCTCTCTGTCACTACTTGAGCTCTGGCCATTTTCCATTTAAACTGGCCTTAATATTCTCACCTACTTTCTGTTGAATAAACGTGGTTTGTTTGAGGTTTAGGAGGAAGGAGGTTTTTCACTCTGTGTGATTTGCCCCAGATCTGTGATGACCCTATTTTCTTACCCCAAAATTTAGAATCATGTGTATAATCTGACACCGGATCATAATCAGTGAATTCAGGACTGGCCTGGAAAGTCTGGGAGATGAAAGTTGTCTTGACTACACCGTATTCTGACTGTTCACTCTTTTTTTTTTTTTAAAGCAAACTCCTTTACTCCTTTACTCCTCTTTGAACCTTTGTTCAGATGCCACCTCAGTAAGCACATTTCAGTATATGTCATTTTATATAAATAATTATTTTTTAAAAAGCTTTTGTGCTCACAAATTGATTTTCTTGATTTTACTTCTCATCAAATTATAAGGATCCAGGAGGTATATTAGAAATTTCATTGAAGGAGGAGGGGTCAGAAGTACTACAACCCAAGATCTACAAACTAACCCCTACTCCCAATTTCTTCCTGTGTGAACTGAACTAAATGTCAAAACATTTCGGCTATACATAATTGTAGATTATAAACATAATCGAATACAAAATATATTTTATTCACCAGTTTACAATTCACAGTCCATACATATAGTGTTTTATGCATATTTAATTGACTTGATTTTATATACAGGTGAGTTACCATCTCAGAATCTTTCTTGTTCAGCACAGGTTCTCTTTTCTAAAAGCCTTACTTATAGTTCACGATCAAGAGGGTTTAGAATTTTAGCTCTAACTCCAGTTTGGTAAAATCCTTTTACTGGGCTTTATTTTTCCCACCTGTGAAATGAAGGCTTGAACCAGAACTATATGGCTTTGTGTTTTGAATTATGCCTGCTGATATTGCCCTGCCAGTTCTGGGTGTCAGATGTTGGTTTTCTTTTCCTGACTTTTGTGTCCCCACTACTGGTTATTTCTGTTGCCTGGTGCTCAGTATCCTGGCTTAATAGAATACTATCTATGTGATCTTGAGCAAGTCTTAATCTTCTCTGAGCCTCAGTTTTCTTACTGTAAAATGGGGATGGTAATAATACTTAAATGTTATGAAATAAAAAGATGATTTAAGTAAAACCCTGAAACAGTGTCTGGTACTTAGTAAGCACTTTATAACTTCATATTGTTACTGTAACTGAAAGTACTTTGTCTAGAGTTCAGTCTGGAAACTTCCTGATCTCTGAATTTTGTTGTAACTTTGGCTCTCCATGATGGCATTTCTTCATTATGCGCCACCTCCCTCCCACTTTAGGGGATGTCTGCACCTTTTCAGCACCGCCACCCAGAGAACTGCTGGTGAGGACTGTAATTCTGAGGACCCTCCCGATGAGCTTGGGCCCTCTCTTGCAGAAAGAGCCTTAAAGCTAAAAGCTGTTAAACTAGAGAAGGAAGTCCAGGATTTAACAGTGAGTGCATATTATATTATCTGTTCTGTTCTTCACATTCTCCTTCTGGTTTAAATATCCAATAAAGTTTTTTGTGTCGATTTTTAAAATTGTTTCCTCTAATGGACTCTTTACCTTTCCTTCTACTTCTACTCTTTTGCTAGGTATACTAGGCAAAATAATCTGTAGCAGTTCAAAAATATCACTGGCTAAAGATAGTCATCTTTTTCATTTCCCTGTTGTGTTACACTGCTTAGGTATCTGATACTTTGGTAGCTTCAAAGTAGTACAGTGCCTGGCATATGATAGACACTCAATAAATATTTGTTGAATGCGTGAGATCATTTATCACTGTACTCTGCTGATCAGACTACATTTGGCAAACTGTGCCCTGTTCTGGGTTGACAGACACACTTTGAGGAAGATAGATATTAGAGTAATTACAAAGCAAGACCACCCAGAATGGTAAAGAGATTGGAAAGCATGTTTTATGAGAGCAGTTGAAAAAAGGAAAGGAAAAAAAACAGGGATTATAAGAATGAAAGAGAAGACTAAAAGGACTAAAATAATTGCCTTCAAATAGTTGATATATTTTTAAAACGTACTCTTGGTTGTCCTAGAGTTCAATTCAGTTAACAAAAGTTGGAGGGTGAATGTGAAAAAGAAAGCTTTTTCTCAAGATGAGCTTGAAACCTTGATAGAGTATTCGAACTAGAAGGCTAAATGACAGCTTTTCAGGGCTGCTTACAAAGAGTGGGTTCCTGCTTTGACTAGGGATTTGGAGTAGCTGATCTAAGATTTCTACAACTCCTACTATTTTTTTTTTTTTTAATTAAAAACCTAACACGAGGAAAATATTTGTAAGCAAATACATTCTTTTGTACCAAAAAGCATTCGTTTGACTTTGCTTTTGATGGTCAGGTGAGATACCAGAGAGCTGTAGCTGATGGTGAAAACATAAGAAGACGAACTCAGAGATGTGTAGAAGACGCCAAGATATTTGGTGAGAGATTTATTCACAATAAAAAATACCTTCTACTTTAAGGCCACTTACTAACAGTTCTGCAAACTGAACGTAGTGAAAACACATCTGGGTCCTTAACTGATCCCTGCTCTACCCTTTTATTATTCCCATAGTCTTTCTATGCTGCTTATAGGGAATGTTGTCAAGTGAACCATTTGCTTAAATATTGCTTGTGTTTATTTTGACCAAACCTTTATTTTATTTTTCAAGCATGTACATTTAACATTCTAGTGTTTATACAAATAATTCTGTTTTAACACATTAACCAAACAAGTGAATTATTAAGATGTTCAGAGGAGAATCCAAAGAACAGATGCATAGATCAATCAAGAATGTTGAAATTTGCTTCACAGAAGCAAAATTGGTCTGTATCTATAGTGCAATAATCAATTGCACCTCTACTAGACGATTTTTACTATTATGGACAAGAATTATTTGCATTACTCTCAGTATTCTGCAGTTTGCTAAGTTTTAAAATAACTCAAAGACAAAAGCTTGGACCACATAGAAGCAGATAACGCTGGAGGCTATGCTTTATCATATCTATTTTTTCATTAATGATGTTGAATATTTTTGGTCTGTTTCAAAGCCTTTCAGAAAATTTTCTCTACATGCGCCACATCTCGTTCCAGATGTGTTCATGAAAGTGTTAATTGAGTAATAGAAATTCAGTGGTAAAGAGCAAATCTGTGATTACTCGCTGTACTCACAATTTAATATGGAGCATTGTACTTTCACCACACATAGAAAGAAAGTGCTTGAGAGGCCTTTGCATCCTGTTTAATCTAGTCTTTTACAAGTAAGCTGGAAAAAAAGTGAATTTGTGATAGATGTAGACATGAGTCCATTGTCTCCTGACCTCTAATCACACTACTTCCTGTTCTCTGGATTTTGTCTGTTTGTGCACAGATTGACTTCATTCCTGTCCTGTCTAATCCCAGTGCTTTGGCATAGCATTCTGCTTTTCATCCAGTGCTGTAGACATCATGTTTCAAGGCTCCAAGTACCAATTAAGTCCTGACTCTCAAATTGTATCCCTGATATTTCATCCAAGTTTTAGTCTCTTATTTCCAACTGTCAGAGGCCAAGCCAAGCCTCTTAGTCCATAAATATAGTTTTGAATTTCATCATTAAAAATGTGTGGAAATTTCTCTTTTGTTATATAATCACCTACATAAAGTCTTTGATTTTGCCTCTAATCCCACAAAACCTAAAATATTTACTATATGGCCGTTTGCAGAAAAAGTTGGCTAACCTCTGAGCTACAGGGAGTTTCTGTAGTAGATAGACCGATTGTGACCGGTTGCAATAGCTAGGGAAGACTTCTTGCCCACTTAAGGGGAGCAGGGTGAGTTGGCTTACCGAAAGTCAAGCTCTGAGTTAGGAACTGGCTTATATCTGTTTCCTTAAAAATTAATAAGGTACCCATGAACAAGTACATATTAACTAAACTCAAAAGAATTTAATAGATAATGAAATATATTTGTTTACAGAGCAAAGTTTGTGTAGCAAAACATGCCATATGAGTCATTTCCTTAAGTCATTTCTTCCTGTGGCCAGGAATACTTAGAAAATTGAAGCTTGCTAGTGAGCATGGAAGTATGAAAAAAAGTAGAATGCTTTTAAAGGTTATAGTATGATGACTATTCTAGGGATAAAATTTTGTCTCAGTAATCTACCTTCTCTTAAATAGTTCACAAAGGATCCTCCCTCCCCACCCCAAGAAATGATGCCAACAAAACTACTATTGAAATGATACAATAATTAGAAGGAAATCAGAGACTGAACCCCTCACTGTACAGACAAGAGAACTTAGGCTTCTGTTTACCCAAATTCCTAGAACTTTACTAAGTAGAAGCCGGGGCTCTTTGTACCCTGGCATTATATAAGTCAGCCCAGAAGCTTACAGCTTTCAACTTCTCTTAAGAGTGTCTGTCTTTTGACTCACCAGAGATGCCTTTGATATTCTTGATTGATCTTTATAAGACATTCTCTTGAAAATGATGAGATTTCTCAACAGCCAAGTTCGCTTTTTTCATGTGATCTATAACAGTTCATGTGATTCTAAAAAGATAGGACTAGTTTTGGCCCATCTCTAGCAATTACATATAACTTCGTAGCAGGCAGTTAGAGACTTCATTTATAGTTGTGGCTTACTTTTTGTATTGAGCCAGTCCTTAAAATAAATCACTCTTTTGCCCCGCCTAAGCACAGCCTTATCAACTGTTTTTTTATTACTTCCCTCTATGAAATCTTAACATCTTATCCCTATTGAGAATGGATGCCTCAGCACAACTGAGACAGGCAAGAATTTTCAAAATGTACATAACTTCAGTGCTAAAAATAAATGCAGCAAAAGTATAAGAAACGTAAAAATGGTCACATTTTTAAAGTTCCTCAGCCTTATTTATAGTCTTACCTAGTTCTTGGCTTCTGACCATCTTCCCCATTTCCTAGTATGCCTTCCAAGAGAAACTGGCTTGTCATTGGGTTAGGTAGTAATTATTGATGATGATCCTTGAGTTATATATGGCAGTCTGCTCACTTCCTAGGGTGCCCAGTATACTAGCCACCTATCTGTGCCTTCCAAGAGCAGGGTGATTTGCTCACAAACAATAAAATTATCTGGCTTCTCTATAGGAATTCAGAGTTTCTGTAAGGACTTGGTAGAGGTGGCAGACATTTTGGAGAAGACTACAGAGTGCATTTCTGAAGAAACAGAGCCTGCAAACCAGAAGCTCACTCTGGAGCAGATATTCCGGGGGTTGTCACTTTTAGAAGCAAAGCTGAAAAGCGTGTTTGCCAAGCATGGCCTGGAGAAGATGACACCCATTGGTGACAAATACGACCCTCATGAGCATGAACTCATCTGTCATGTGCCAGCTGGTGTTGGGGTGCAGCCCGGCACAGTGGCATTGGTAAGGCAAGATGGCTACAAGCTTCATGGCCGCACCATTAGACTTGCCCAGGTGGAAGTGGCAGTGGAATCTCAGAGAAGACTCTGAATGGGCCATGAGGAACCAAATGTTCTTCCAGAGCGCAGTCACCTGTGTTTCCTTTATTTATTAAACTAGGTTTGTACATGAGGTACTTCATGTGATCTGTTTTGGATTTAGTCATATTGGCTTTATTTCTAAGATACTCTATTGATTTAATGTGACCTGTTCGGTCTCATCAGAAGTCTTGCCATTCGGCATTTGAACAATGTGACAAGTGTTTCTATGGCCTTTATGTTTAAGAAAATTATTTTTAAATTAGTTCTCTGAGGACTTTCAATCCAAAATCTTTTTAAAAGTTGGAAATGAGTATATGTTTATGTATTTTGGACTAATTGTTCCTTTCTGATAGTCCTTATAACAGGTATTGCATAGGATCTTGTGTATTTTGTGGGAAAAGAGATTGGTACATTTGGGTACTTAAGTGATAATGCTTTATAGTTGTGTGAATGTAGATCGTTTGGGTTGATTTTTATATACATAGATTTTTCAGGACTTTCTCTCTTTATTTTATTTTCCTTATAGCCATTTTTTGTCCTCGTAGTCCCTGCCAAGTAGAATTCATATTCACACTCATTGCTCTTTTCCGATTCCCATTTACAAGGCCTAAGGCTCAGGCTAAACTTGGAAGACAGGAAACATCAAGAAATTCCAGATACCCAGGTCCCTTTCAAGCAAGGATGGCCAAGAAACTTTGTGCTTTTTTTGCTGAGTTATCTTCAACTTATTTTCAGCCTCCTTGGTATATAATAATTTCAGGGAAACTGAGGCAGCTAATGACCTAAATTGGTCTATATAGGTAATTTACCTACAATTTCTCTTTTCACCAGCCTTGAAATCCTCTGCCACTTTGTCAAATTTAAATTATGATCCTTTATTAGATTATGGAGGGATGTGGTCAGGGAAAAAATGTTAGGTTCCCATTCCTTTCATTTAATTATGCTGAATTTTTTTTTTAATTGATACAATTCACTACCTCTCTTACATTGAAAAGTTTTGTTTCCTAGTTTTTGTATCTGTCATACATTTCGCTCCCCTTTTACATGTTAACCTAGACATATGAGCCTCTGTGTTTATTTTTGATTCTTTCAGTCTTGCTTCTTGTAGCTGGTGTTCTGTAAAAGATTTGTTCAATAAATGAGTTAGTGAATAAATGATACATCAGACTTTAGAAAGGAGGTCACTTATGCCTATTTTAATGTTAGAAGAGGCCTTGATGATGTAACCTTGCCCCTTCCACTTCTTCTGAGTATGAAAACAGACTTTTTAGAATTGGACTCAAAGAAAATGTCTAAAACTAGTGAACTAAATTTCAGTAAGAACTTGAATAAGGAACAACTAGATATTAACTTCAGTCATTTAAGATTCAACAGTTCTTTAATGAACTTGCGAAAATGTCCCCTGCAGACAATTAAATGTTAGCTGTCCAGATTGCATAGGTTTAGATTTAAGTTAGTTGCCCATAAAATAAATCCATTTCTACAGATACAGGAACCCTTGACCCCTTTCAGTGAAGTGGTAAAAATTATTCTCTTAGATATATATAATTCTAGAACAGTACACAGACTTCTGTCAATAAAGTCATCCCCCAGTGGGCCCTACCGTCTTCACCAGATTTAGACACTTTAAAAAAAAGTACATGATTTTAAAATGCACACAACACTGCTGGTATGATTTTAAAACCAGAACCTCTTTTGTCATTCCACTGAGTGCGTACTGTAAGTTTAATGAGCAGTCAGTTTCACAATAGGAATTTGTCTTTTTTTGCCTATATTCCTGAGATTGACAGATGATGACAAGAAAATGAGCCAATTATAATTACCCATGGGTTCTTGGATTACTAGCTGTCATTACCAGTGAATTAGAATAACCATAATTTTACATATGAAATGTTCTGATTACCTTAAGTTTTCTAATATTCCTTGGAACCTCCTGTTTTAGCAAGTAGATTGAGAATAATTTTTAGATTCTTTTATTAGTAGTTTTGTGGACTTAAAATTGTAAATTTAGAAGATGGAGCTATAACAGTAAGAATATAAAGTTGAAGGGCTTTCGGGAGCTAGAGCAGCATAATAGAGCAGAGAAGCTTGGTAGGCAGAGACTTGAACATGAATCCCAGCTCAGTCATCTGTGTAACCTTGGGCCTCAGTCATTTCACTCTTCTGAGGCTGATTCCTTATTTTTAAAATGATTATAATAATTTTCTCACAATATTGTGAGGATTAAATGAAATATGTAAATTGCCTATTACAGTAGGTCTTCAAATATTTATTTTTAGTGCTCTTTATTATACATATTGTTTTTCCTATGTTTTTATAGCTGACTAAAGTCTAGGAAAAGGGGAAGACTGGTTAACAGATGCTTAACAAAACATAAGCTAATCAGAGTAACTTATTTTCCTTCTATCTTCTGGTGGTTTGGGTTTTGTTTTGTTTTGTTTTTAATCATAATGCAAAAAATCCATGTTTTTAGACTGAAGGAACAAGAAAATTGTGTCAGGGCTCCTAATTATTTTCATCTTGATGGTAAAGTGAAAAGACACTATTGGCTTGCAGAAGATATGTAGGGAGCTTTGGCTCACTTGAAGAGGGGATCTTGGTTTTTTAGTACTTGGATTCTACAAATCTTACAGATTTTCCTCACTATCATAAAGGAATCAGTAATATTTAGTGCTTTCATGGTAAAGGATTTGATAAATGAATAAAGGTATTTAAAAAACTAAAGCAAAATCAAATAGAGAAAACTAAGGATGATATATGGTATGCAGAAATAACTTTAATAAAACCCAACTTGAAATAACTGCAGTTCACGTTTAATGTCTTTGTTTGCCTAATTCATATTGTATATTGATATGTTATGGTCACTTTATTGACCACTGACCCACCTTGTTGATCAAGTCAGCACATAAGAGAACTTTGCACAGTTATTAATGAATGCTTTGTTAAAAAATTAAGGAATATTTTGAGTCTTAGAAAGTGAACTTAAAAGATTTTGCATTCTGACACATCTCCAAAAAGTTTTTTTTTTTTTTTTTTTTTTTAAGACTATGAAGAATGCATGTTTACTCATCTACCACTTCACTAGTAATCCAGTTTGGCCCTGTTATGACTCAAAGCTGATTTAGGACCCCAGCTATACACTCTTTTACTGTTCTCTAAATTTCTTCAGCTTTTTCTCTTAGCCACAGTCTGATTCAATAAATATGGATTTTATTTATCCTGAAACGCATCCTCGATTTTATTTTCTGCTAGAGGAAATCTTTCAGTCTCATAAACTAGCCGCATTAGTCTTGTCTCCTCAAACAGTGAAAACGGGAGTTTATTCCTACCGTTCCTCTCCTCTGAGAGTGGATGAAACCCTTTGTTTTTTAAGTGGAAGGCAGAGATATAAACTGTAGAAGCTGCAAATAAACGTAAATAACAATCTCAGTAGCATCTGGCCTTGTTTCGGCATATGCATAGGGTAACCCTGACTGCATGCTTGGTCAGCAGTTTCCAGCTTTGGGAGACATTAAGCATTTTCACATTCCTTATCTCGTGATTGTTACAACCACTTAGAGCAGGGAAACCGAATGAGACACGGAGCAAGCAGGTTACAGAGCTAGTAACTCTCAGAGGTTGGCCTTGAACTGAAGTCGTCAAAACTTCAGTTCTTTTTCTTCAGTCAATCCCCTCTTTGTTGGGTCCCGGTCCTGGTCCTGGTCCTGATGCTGAGCACCGGAGCGCGCGCACCTGCGCCGGGCAGGATGAGCCAGCCAATGAGGAGCCCGCATCCAGGAGGCGGGACGGGGAAGCTACCAATGACAGAGTCTGCCCGAAGAGAGATGCAGCTAATGAAGGCCTTGTGTTGGAGAGAGACGACTACTCGTCCAATGAGAGGCTGTGAGCAGCGAGGGTGGAAGGCGGACCGGCCAGTGGGGCTCCGGGGCGGGGCGGTGAGCCAGCGCCAACGCGCGAGCGCCCGAACTCTGGCGTGCTGTCTGCGTCGCCGCCCGCCATGGCCCGCGCTTCCCGGCTCCTCGCCTCGCTGGCCGCGCTCCTCGCTGCCGCCGCTACAGGCGGAGACGCCCGGCCCAGCAAAATCGGTGCGGGAAGGACGGGGTGGGGTGCTGAGTTGGGGAATGCTGCGCGGGAAGAGGGTTCTCAGCCGGCTGCAGCAGGGTGGGGGATGGGGAAGGCAGCTGAGCGAGGCAGGGGTCCTCTGGGGAGGAGGCGGGTGGAGAAGAGGCGAGGGACTGCGACTGGGCGAGGAAGGGGACCGCAGTAGGCATGGTGCTGATGCGGAGGGTGGCATGGGCATGTGTCGAGGGCTTCCTGGGGCGGAAGAGAGTCTTAGGGCAAGACCGGCCACTGATCTTGCCGAAAGATCCAGAAGCATTGAGCATCTGCCATGGACCCGACTTTTTGCCAGGTGCCCTGATGACGGAGAAGACAGGGTCTGGGCGATTGTCATTCACAAAAGTTTATTGAAGGCCGTCTGGGAAATAGGTACGGTGCTCCATAGTTCCTTTTCAGACAAGACTGCACAATACAGGGAAGTTAGTGCTAAGGCTGTAAGTACCCTGATATAGAGGAAGGGCACTTCACCCCAGACTTTGATGGCCCTGGCAGGGTGTTGGAGGGCTTCCTGAAAGTAACGTCTAAGCCAGAACCTCAAGGAGAGTAGAAGACAGAACCCATGGTAGGTCTGCTGGAGATAGATTTGCTGAATTAGAGTGGGGAACTTTTAACAGCAGTCTTTTTTTTTATTCCAACATTTTATTTTGAAAAATTTCAAATGTACACCAAAGTTGAAAGAATTATGCAGTGATCATCTGTATTCTCAACACCTGGATTCTGCCGTTAACAAACTGCTACTGTATTTACTTGCCCTATCACATACCTGTCATACCTCCATTAATCCATCTTATATTTTAATGGATTTCGAAATAAATTGCAGACAGGACACTTCGCTAAACACTTCATTGTGCATATTATTGACTAGCATTCCATATATGCTTAGTATTTTTCCTCTTAACAGTTGTCATTTTAACATGAGTCAAAGATTTTCAGATCCCTCACATATATAATTCCCATAGGCAGAGCTGCTGGGCTTCTCGTGTGGGTGAGTAGGCGTTCCTACTCCATTCGTCTGCCCTTTGTGTACCCCTCTTGGCAGGGAGGGATGTCCCATAGGAGCACCACAGACTTAATAGAGTCAATGCAGTGCTAAGGCTTCTTGGTTTACAAAACCACAGCTCAGGCCCCAAAGGGTTAAGACATACTGAAGCATGCCAGAAATCAGGTTGGGATTGAGAGTTTAGGGTTTTCAGAGGAAAGAAGGCCAAAGTGGTCAAAGAGGACCTCATGTAGAAGATAGATTTTGAAGGATGGGAAGGAGTTAGGCAGACAGTGTTTGGAGGTGCTGGGCACTCTCTCATCTCTTGGGAATGGGCAACAACTGGACACTTCATGCTGACCACTCAGGGCCTCCTCCCAGCACTATTGCTTCTGGCAATGCAGAGCTTGCTGCCTGCTTCATTGCAGCTGGCCCTGCTTACCTTGCCCCAGGAGTCATCTAGAGCAGGACACTTGGCAATGCCAAGCTGCCCTATAGCTTCCTAATTGTCCTCAGCCCTCTGACAGGAGCTTCTGTCCACCCTTGATGGTGACTCTACCCACAGTGAGAATGCGGAGTTTCCTGTTAGAATGGCTTACACTTCAAACTGCTGCAGGATCAAGCCTGAACACCTGGGTGTAGCATTAGACCCCTTAAATCCCCCATAGTTCCACACACTGCCCTGCTCATGCTCTTACTCTGTGGGGGCTGTGTTTCTGCCCATAGGCAAAGCCAGTTGTCCACGATCCTGATCAAATGTTCCTTCCCCTGTGAAACCTGTGTTTCCCCACCCTCAAGCAGGCAGAACTCATTGCTTCCTCTTCCAGATTCCCTAGAAAGGTGTTGTTGCATTTAGTCATACATTGTCATAGCTGATTGTGCATGAGTCTGTCTGCCCACTCCCTGCCTGGGCTCAAGAGGACAGAGGCCCTGTTTGATTCATCTCATGTACCAGCACATTGTACCATAGACCAGAAAAGTGGGTGTCAGTTCATGGGTGTTGAGTGAGCTGGTTCTCAAAGAGATGAGGTCTTCTGCTTCCCTGTAGCCCTTAGGCAGCTTCCAGGCCTTGTGATAGCAGTTTCTCTGGGAAAAAAAATGGGTAATTTGGAGCTCTGTTGCAAATGGAGGAGAGGGGAGCACACTGGTTTGAAAAGGTTAATGGCATTCTTGGAAGTAGCTTTGTGAACACTGAGAAGGAGGAAGTTTGTTTTTTCAAGTTGCAACAAATACTTAATGAACTCTCCTGCCTGCCAGGATCTGGGGACAGAGCGATCTGCTCTCAGTCCTTAAACAGACCATTTGAATAGAGTGTGCTAAGGACCAGGCGAAGGAAGAGGAGAGTGATGCGGAGATATGCAGGAGGGATGCCTGAGTGGTCTTTAGGTGGGTCAGGCAAGCTAAGAATGACGCAAGAAGGCCATAGAAGTCAGCAAGGCAGGGTGCAACAGCAATGCCCAAGGGAGCAATGCATGCATGAGAGAGCAAAGTCACATGCTCCACAGCAAAAGCAGTCGAGACAGACAAGAAGGTGGAGTGTTGCAAGAGTGGGGCAGCGAATGGAGTAAGTGGAGGCCAGATCATAAAGCACCTTGTATTGTTGCCTTCTTGACAGGAGATAGTGGTCTTAGGGTCCAACATGGGTCCAGGAAGGACAAATCACACCAGATTTATCTTTTTCCTTTTTTCTTTGTCTTTTTTCTTTTTTTTTTTTTTAGATAGGGTTACTAGGTTATCAGATGAGAGGAAGCTGTGTCTCAGATACATGGTAGACAAAAATGGTAGGTAGCATGGCAAGCACATTCAGTAGCTTCAGATCTGCTTTACTGTCCTTTCACAGTCCTATTTGGTATTAGTGTCTAAATTAATATCTGTCCGGACGGTGGTTCCGAGTAGCACCTCACAGACCTGTCTAGTGAAATGTTTTTATCCGTGACTTGAATGAGAGTACTGATGGCGTATGAACCAAGTTTATAAATAACAGGAAGGTCGGAGGTATAGGAAAGACAGTGGATGATAAGACCCAAAAAGACTTCAACAAGCCGAAACTTACAACAAGAGTCCAAACTGGAACAGAGTGCCTTATGCAGCAATAATCAACCTGTCACAGGATGCATTCCAGTTTTGGCAAACACCGATGTAGAAATGATTTAAGTGTCAGGTGATAGGTTGGACTAGAGCAAGGGTTGGCTGACTTCTTCAGTAAAGGGTCAGAGAGTAAATATTTTAGACTTTGCTAGCCTTACAGTCTGGTGCAACTACTCAACTCTGCCTCACATGAAAGCAGCCAGAGACAATAAGCTAAAGAAAGGGTTTGACTATATTCCAATAAAACTTCGTTTGCAAAGATAGGCATCTGCTTGGATTTGGCCCATAGGCTATAGTCTGCTAACCCTTGAATTAAGGAGTGGTTTCCAAGTGCTGATCTACCTAACAGTACCTATCAGTGACCAGGTTTTCATAGTGCAATAAAAATAGAGACAAAGTGTCTTTTTCTTTATAAAATGAGGGTAACAGTAAATGGCTGTTTTCAGATTGTCCTTTATTCTTTATTAATAAAGACTAGTCTGCAGGGTTTTTGTTTGTTTGTTTGTTTGTTTTTGAGGTGTCATAAGTATGAAGGCAAGTGCCGGGGAACCCCTGGCCCAGAAGTCCACGAAGGTGTGACCTGCAGTCTCATGCCCATGCTCTGTCTCTCTCCTTGCCTGCCTCCCGGGCCTGCTGACAGCTGTGGTTGGGGCTGGAATCGGGGGCTCTGCCGTGACCCACTTCCTGCAGCAGCACTTCGGCCCCCGGGTGCAGATCGATGTGTTCGAGAAGGGGACAGTGGGTGGCCGTTTGGCCACCATCTCGGTCAACAAGCAGCACTACGAGAGCGGGGCCGCCTCCTTCCACTCCCTAAGCCTGCACATGCAGGAATTCGTCAAGCACCTGGGTGAGTGTGATGTCCTGAGGCTCCATCGTCCAGCCTCCAGGGCTGACAGCAGCCATCAGGCCCTTCCTAGATTGCCCCTGTGGTCAAGGCCATAAGGTCATGCAGCCCAATCTCATTTTACAGATAGAGCAGCTGAGACCAGAGAGGGGAAGAAACTTGCCTGAGGTTACACAGTGAGTTAGTTGCAGAGCCCGGATTAGAACTCAGGTTTGACTCCCAGGCCAGTTTCTTTCCCTTTCCACCTCTTAATAATCATATTTGTGATGGCTTTCACATGCCGTGTGCTTACCAGTGTCCTGGCATCCTTGTAGGTGGTATGTAGACATTACTTCTAATCTTCCCCACCAGACTACGAGAGGTAGGTGATGTCTCCTCCTGGGGAAATTGAGGCTCAGAAAATGTATACACCTCAGCTAAGGCCATGCAGCTAATAAGTGAGAGAGCTGGTATTCAGCTCCAGCAGCGTCTATCCAAATCGCAATTAACGTATACCATTTGACACAAATTCCATTTCTCAGAAGTGATCCTGCAGGTATACTTGCACATAGGCAAAGTGGCATACGCACGAGGTTATTCATCACAGCATTGTTTGGAATAGCAAAAGGTTGAAAAGATCCTACCAGCCCACCCACTGGGATCTGAGATTAATAAATTATTGTGTGAGGACACAGACTATTCAGCAGCCAGATGAGGACATCCCCTACACCCAGATATAGAACGATCTCCAAGACACAGCATGTCAGGTGCAGGACAGTATATAGTATGTGGAGGTGGGGAGAAGAATAACATAGAGATAGGCACATTTATGAGTGTTTCACAAAATATCTCTGAAGGATGCTGAAGGAAGGAACTTACTGGTTGCCTCTGGGTAAGGGAACTTAGTGGCTCAGGGATAGGAATGGTGACTTGGGACAGGGCCTGTAACCTCTAAGCCTCGGTTTCCACATCTTTGAGTTTTGAGTGGGGGAGCTAACACCTGTCCTGCCTCTTCCCAGACTGTGAGAGGATGGAGTTAGATACACAAGTCTCAGTGCTCTGGAAGTTGTAGAGTGTAGTTGGTTTACAAGGAGCTGTGATTCTTCCATGTGGTCTTGGTGCCCAGGGCTGCCCTCCCAGAGCGGCACTGCGGCTGTCTGCCCCTGGACACTCTGGGATGACATCTGAATTTCCTTCACTCTGCTAAGTGGATCTCTGTTGAAAAAAAAAAATGTGAACGGGTACATTATTTTTATTTTTATCTCTATTGATTAGCCAGGCCAAATATTCCCCCAGTGTATTTGTTTACTATTTTAAACAAGCAGCTCATATGAACAAACCAAAGTGTTTCTATTCCTTTTAATGGAGCCAGTCCGTTTGCATCCTTCAGGAAAGCCCTGAATTTCAGCTTCAGGCAGTACGTCTCCTGGGGGGCCCTCCGAAGGGGACCTGAGGGCCTCCTCCATGTCTCCTCAGGGCTGAAACACCGGCGAGAGGTAGTGGGCAGGAGCGCCATCTTCGGCGGGGAGAATTTCGTGCTGGAGGAGACTGACTGGTACCTGCTGGACCTCTTCCGCCTGTGGTGGCACTACGGCATCAGCTTCCTGAGACTGCAGATGTGGGTGGAGGAGGTCATGGAGAAGTTCATGAGGTAGGGCTGGGCAGAGCTGTGGGGTTTCCAGAGGGACAGAGAAAAAGAGGTAGGGAAGGAACCAGCCTGACTGTAAATTGTTGAAAAGTAAAGGTGCTTGCTGGGTGTGAGAACCCAGCACCATTTAGTCCAGTTTCCAATCAAGCCCCAAGCGTGAGGACTGTACTGGCTCAGTGCAGGCATGGTCTCTGGTACTGTCACA